AGGGCAACCAAAGAAGACCCAGCCAATCAGCTGGGACTCGATGGGAGGCAGAGAAGAGATGGGGTTGGTGGGGCCAGTCAGGGGTGGTACTTGACGGTTCTCTGAACCATTCAAAATTTCCGCTCCCTGTTCTCCAGAACCGGTCAGAACTGGCTGAAGGCCCCCTCTGTGTTTTAACTCAGCTCTCCCCTAAAGAATTTGGGGAGCCACTGCTTCAGCCCTTCGCTCTTTTCTCGTGACCCAGGAAGGGCCACGGGGCAGCAGGTCTGGGGGCTCTTGGCAACTCTCAGCCGTTGGTGGCAGCCAGCAGTCAGCAGAAGTAGCCCTGCAGTACTGCACTCCAACCCCTGCGCCACATGAAACTAGTCTGCTCTGAACTGAATTGGGACTGTTCCTCTCCTCTGCCTGGACTCTGCTGTTTAGTGTTGTACATTTACTCACCTGTTTATATTTATATAAAGAAGTTAACGATGCCACTGAATCAGGCGCCTGTGTTTTCTGGACTTGAATTTCTGCTGCAAACTCTTCATAAATTTGGGCCAACAACCAAATATTCTCAGTTAACCACAAGGGCAACTCCCAAAAGCCTATCGATATGTTTGGGCAGCAAAGAAGTGTGTGTGTTAAAATGCTTCCCTTATACCGGGGGTCTTCAAACTGACCGCTTGAAGACCTGTGGACTTCCACTCCCAGAATTCCTCCTCCAGTCATGTTAGCTCAGGAATTCTGGGAGTCCACAGGTCTTAAACTTGCCGAGTTTGAAGAACCCTTGTCTTATAACGTACCTTTGGGGGAAAAAAAAGACCATGGACTTTGCAAACTTCCCACCTCTCTCAGGAGGAGAACGAAGTGACGGAGTTCTTCGTCACGCTGGAGAAGGACCCTCAGCAAGAGGACTTCCTGCAGGGCCGGATGCCCGGGAACCCCTACAGCAGCAACGAGCCAGGAATCGGCCCGCTGATGAGGGACATCAAGAACAAGATCTGCCAGGACTGCGACTTGGTGGCTCTGCTGGAAGACGACAGCGGGATGGAGGTGAGGAGGCCGGGACCGAGCTGGAGCGGGTGGCCAGGCTTGGAAAGGGGTAGTGGTGAGATTTTATGCACACCCTCCTTCCTTTATGAAGCCTGGGGTTCACCGCGGTGGCTTTCTGTGCTTGGGGTAGAGCAATGATGGCTGTCCGAAATGCAATGTGCGCGCAGCCCCCTGCACAAGCACCGCAATCCCCCGTGTGCAGTGTGCGCCTCTGTGCATGCATGCGCCCCCGCCTCTCCTGCACACACATGTACGTCTCCCGTGTTCGTGTCAGCCCCGCGCACGTGGCAGATACCCAATCTTTGGCTGGCTGGGGTGTGTGTGTGTGCATGCACAGTGGATCAGTTCCGGGTGACAGCTCGTGTGCTGGCAAAAATGGCTCTGCGTGCCACTTCTGGCACGCATGCCATAGGTTTGCCATCATGGGGGTAGAGGGGTGCTTCCAAAAAGCAGCAGCCCTTCCCCATTTTAAAACCGACGTCCTCGTTCACCACCCCGCTGAGGGTTTTTTTTTTTTTTCCTTTCTTCCTCCTGTTTATTTCAGCTTCTGGTGAACAACAAGATCATCAGCTTGGATCTCCCGGTGGCCGAAGTGTACAAGAAAGTCTGGTGTCCGACAAACGAGGTGAGGGGTCCTTTCCTCCCTTCGGCCTCTCCCTTCCCTCTGCCCTGTCCAGGCCACCATCTTTCCCCCCCACCACACACAAGATTTCGCCCAAGGGTGGGATTCTACCAGTTCGCACCTATTCGCTAGAACCGGTTGTTAACGTTCTAAGCAGTTTGGAGAACCGGTTGTTAGAAGAAATTACTGGGCTAATCCTGCAAGGAAGGCAGGAAGGAAACATTCTGGGGTTGCTTACAGAAACTGCCTCTCCATTAACCCTTATTACATTCTTGGCAGGACTAGACTTCCTGTCTCAGGAACAGTTTTGTGGATCGGCGGGGAGGGGTTGGGGGAGGAGATGGCTCCATGTGAGCAGCGGCCACCTGCGTGCACATGCATCCCCATTTGTGTGAGCACATGTGCCCCTCATTTGCTCACACTCACCTGTTTGAGCAAATGGAGATAGAGTAGAGTAGAGTAGAATAGAATGGAATGGAATGGAATGGAATGGAATGGAATGGAGTAGAATAGAATAGAATAGAATAGAATAGAATAGAATAGAATAGAATAGAATAGAATAGAATAGAATAGAATAAACACAGTTGGAAGGGACCTTGGAGGTCTTCTAGTCCGACCCCCTGCTTAGGCAGGAAACCCTACACCACTTCAGACAAAGGGTTGTCCAACCTCTTTTTAAAAACTTCCAGTGTTGGAGCATTCACAGCTTCTAGATGCAAGTTGTTCCACTGGTTAATTGTTCTAACTATCAGGAAATTCCTCCTTGGTTCTAAGTTGCTTCTCTCCCTGGTTAGTTTCCACCCATTTATTGCTTCTTGTCCTGCCTTCTCAGGTGCTCTGGGGAATAGCTTGACTCCCTCTTCTTTGGGGCAACCCCTGAGATACTGGAAGACTTCTATCCTGTCACCCCTAGTCCTTCTTTTCATTAAACTAGACATAACCCAGTTCCTGCAACCGTTCTTCCTATGTTTTAGCCTCCTAATCCTCTTTGTTGCTCTTCTCTGCACTCTTTCTAGACTCTCAACCTCTTTTTTTACATCATGGCGACCAAAACTGAATGCGGTCTTCCAAGGGCGGCCTTACCTTATAAAGTTATATTATTAGGAACACTTCACGTGATCTTGATTCTATCCCTCTGTTTCTGCAGCCTAGAACCGCGTTGGCTTTTTTGGCAGCTGCTGCACACGGCTGGCTCAGATTTAAGTGGTTGTCCACTAGGACTCCAAGGTCTCTCTCACCGTTACTACTATTGAGCAAGGTGCCACCTAGGCTGTACCTGTGGCATTTTGGTTTTTCTTGCCTAAATGTAGAATCTTACTTTTTTCACCCTTGAATTTTGTTAGATAGCGCCCAATGTTCAAGTCTGTCAAGATCCTTCTGTGCCTTAAGCCTTTATCTTCTGGAGTGTGGGCTGCCACAGATGTGCCTGAGCTCACTCTCCTGCCGTTCCCGTGACCCGGTTCCAAACGTCTCACGGCCCCGGGGGTGAGCCCTGACCCGTGTATCAGGGGATCCCTGGCCTAGCAAACCTATGGATGAAGGGCCA